TCAAAGAATTGGTCGATGAGGGTTAAACGGTGGTAGTAGTAGCTTTCCAAAGGTGGCAGAGGCCCAACTATATCCAAATACACATGCTCAAAACACTGACTGGATACGGTAAACAACTGCAATGGACGTAGAATGTATAACTTTGGACTTCTGGCAATTGATGCAAGAACGAGTCCAGGCAACACAATCCTTTGACAGTGAAGGCATAATAAACAAGAATGTATGTCTTTTGATCGGTTGTATACCTGGATGAGAAAGGTCTGTGGAGAGAATAAACTTCTGCTCTGGACTTGGCTGGGAAAAGGATGCATCTTGTCACCACTTACATCACAATATACATTAAGCCCAGGAAACAATTCCCTCTTTTGTAGTTTTAACGAGCTACTTTCAGTGGACAGCAAACAATTCAGTTCCGAATCATTATGCTGAAATTCAGCAATCTGTGAAGAACCTGTTACATGCAGCTTATTAATACAGTCAAATACCGAAAATCCGCCAACTCCTGAAATCTGCGTTGCCTCTCAGAATATAAACATTCAGTTTATAGGTTCAGGAAACTGCAACATTGAGTATGAAATATGGAAGAAAAAAATACTTACCGAATAATGACGTCATAATTAACGAATAATAATGAGTCAAAACGGAAATACCAAATTATTGATATAAAAAAGTTTTAAAAAAATAAGATAAAAAAAATAATATGTTTTTCCCTCTGATCTGCATTGAGGTTAAAAAGCAGATGATTCACTCAACACTTTGTTCAAGTTCACGATTCATGTTGTTGCATTTTCTGAGCTTTGTTATTTCATTTCACGAGATTGTTTAGTGCTGCCTTTTCCTTTATCCGGATATTTTGTGGATAAATTAAGAATATTTTTAATTTTAGCCCTTTTTAATACAATGACCGATAAGAAACGCACTCGTGATTTTACTGCTTGCAACGATGAAAAACGTAAACACATTGCATTGACGGTAACGCATAAAGTGCAAATTCTGCAAAAGATGGAAGCAAGTGCTACTCTTCGATTTATAGCAGAATTTTATAGAATTGCAACACGATTGTGTATGATATACAGAAAATAAAGAAAAGATGTTGAAATTTTACAGCAACAGTGATTCTAACACCGGAAATCTTTGCATGAGGCGAAATCGGCAAACCTCGATGCTGTGTACATATAATACAATGAATAATATAATCAATTTATATATGTAATAATAATTTAATGCATATAATAAATTTTTGCAATAATGTATATAATAATTTAATTAAATGTATCTAATACGCCTTATTCATTTTGCACTTTAGCCCGAATATTATGCTTTATCTTTTGTCCTGAAATCCGCAAAATCCTAAAATCCGCACAACCTCTTGTCCCAAGCTTTGCGGATTTCTGGAATTCTACTGTAACAGTAATTTTTGACAATGTATCTGCCACAATATTTTCTGGTCCAGGAACATACTGTATGTCGGTACTGAATTGGGCAATATAATTCATATGCCTAATCTACCCAGGTCCTGTAGAATCTGATTTTTTTGTCCCTTGAGATTATGTCGAAAATACTTTACCATAGATAACAACTAATTCTCTATAGTATGTGCTGTACTTAGTGTCAGCTGTAGTTCAGTTTAGGGGAGAAAAAAAGGCAGTGGCTGAAGAAGACAGCGGCGAGTGCAAAATGGCTCCAACTGCCACATTTGAGGCATTGACTATCAATGACAACTGCTGACCAGGGGCATGGTAACCCAAGTATCACTGAATTTGTTAGATTAATTTTGAATTTTTCAAAAGCTGCAGTTGTTCCATCTGTCAAAGGAATGGGATGTTTGTCATTTTTCTTTGACTCTTTTAACCCTTTGACGTGTGCAATATTATTTTTATATTTTTTTTAACTAAAAAATCTAGAAATTGAATATTAAGATCCTAGAGACAAATAATATACGAATTTAAAAAAAATCTACTCTTGCCCAATGTTCAGTGGGTGGTGGTCGCATTGTGAAACCACCACACGTCTAGGACTTTGAAATTTACTGAGGTAGTAGGGGAGAACTTACTGTAATTTCCGGAAGAAAGGCCGCATCAGCGCAAACGCCGCACTCGAGAAAAATGGCGGGAAAAAATTAAAATTACACAGAAACGCCACATCAGCGTAAACGCCGCAATAGATTAAATTGCGCGTGACATCATCGTGGGGCGTATAGATGCAAAAACTCAACCTAAGTCCTGATATATGACATACCAGTTAAGAAAAATGCATGAAATGAAACCATAACTCAAAAATAAATTAAAGGTAAGAAATGTATAGCTTCTGTGCCGTTTAGAGACATTTTCAAAAATTTTCCGCTGCCTTCTTACTTAAAAAAACTATTCAACAAGTACTTGTACCCAAACTGATGGGATCGTATTTGGCAGAATGCCAAGAAAAAATCCATTCATGCTGAAGGGGAAAATACGTCAGAGTTCGTTGGGTGCGAGGCAGGTGGAATCGCGTTCCGCCTTTGAAAGAAAATTGCAGAAAAGGGCAGGGGTGGGGAGAGGATGGGTCCTGGTAAGATTCATCGAATAGCAGGGAAGAGAGACTATTCAAAACTGATGAGAATGTTGATTTGAAAGAGGGAAGAATGTTATTGTTCTGAGATCTCAGCTTATTAGGGTGAATAAGGCATGTAAGGTCCATTCAAGGGGAAAGAATGTAAACAAAATAACGTTCGCAAAAAGCAACTGAGTGGTTTTGTGTGGGAACAACATCAGTCTATGTACAATGACAAGACCATCCAAACTATGCACAATGACAAAGCCATCCAAACTATGTACAATGACCATCGTAGGAAATATTTTATTTTTAGTGCACCTAAATGCCGCATGGGTAGAAACGCCACACATGCTGAAAATTTAAGTTTTAAACACGTAAACGCTGCGGCGTTTCTTTCGGAAATTACGGTACCTTTCTCCGTGTGCATTTCAATAAATAACAAAATTTACAAATTTAAAAAAAAATGTATGTAAGAATTGCATTACATGTAGTTTTTTTACATTATTTTACAAAGTAAAAATTAGAAGAAACAGAAAGTAAAAACAGTTTCTTCTGTTTTTACAAAGTAAAATCAGAAGAAATTAAAAAATAAACATTTATGTAATTTTTCTATAGCAGTGAAAATATAAGTACAGTCAAATACCGAAAATCCGCCAACCTGAAATTCACCAACTTCTGAAATCCCAGTTGCCTCTCAAAATATAAACATTCAGTTTATAGGTTCCAGAGACTGCAACATTTGAGTACAAAATATTGAAGAAAAAATACTTACCGAATAATGACGTCATAATTACCAAATAATAATGAGTCATAACAGAAATACCAAATTATTGACATCATGATAAAAGTTTTTTCTCCTCTAATCTGCATCAAGGTAAGAAAGCAGACGATTTACTCAACTCTTCTTTCAAGTTCACAATTCACGTTGTTGTATTTTCTGTGCTTTGTTATTTGACGAGATTATTTAGTACTGCCTTTTCTTTTATACGGATATTTTGGGGATAAATAAGAACATTTTAAATTTCAGCCCTTTTTAATACAATTACAGATTAGAAATGCACTCATGATTTTACTGCTTGCAACGTTGAAAAACGTAAACACGTTGTATTGGCAGTAATGCAAAAAGTGCAAATTCTGCAAAAGATGGAGACAGGTGCTACTCCTCGGTTTATAGCAGAATTGTATGAAATTGTGATACGATTGTGTATGATATATGGGAAAATAAAGAAAAGCTGTTGAAATTTTACAGCAACAGTGATTCTAACACCAGAATCCGAAACCAGAAATCTTTGCACGAGGCGAAATCGGCAAACCTCGATGTTATGTATATATAATACAATGAATAATACAATCAATTTATATATGTAATAATAATTTAATGCATACAATAAGTTACTGCAATAATGTATATAATAATTTAATTAAATGTATCTAATACGCCTTATTTATTTTGTACTTTTAGTCTGAATATTATGATTTATCTTTTCTGCCCTAAAATCCTGAAATTCAAACAACCTCCGGTCCCAAGCTTTGCGGATTTCTGGAATTTTACTTTATCTACATAATAAGGACGTTTGGCTAAATGGGTAAAAAAACTCAGTAAAATAAGGATAAAAAAAGAGACTCAGTACTTTTTTTTTAATTTCAAAGAACAAATTATTTTTTGTCAGCCTGTTCAAAGCATGTTTTGTCTTTTTGGTACATGCATGGACCCACATTGCACGCTTCGCACATGCATCTTCTATGAGGTTTCTTCCTTGTGCTACAAAATGTACACTGTTTGGATCTAAATTTCACTGGTATATGTCCAGTATTATTTAGTTTAGCGTTATTAGTATGGCACATGAAATTTGTGGTTTTTTTATGTTAATGGGGGGAGGGGGCTTGGTCTTTTTGGCTTTGGTACGGATCATTTGTTTCCCATTCATACTTATTTTATTCATATTTTGTTCCAAAATATTCAGAAAGTATTTTTAATTTAAATAAAACTGGAAGCGGTTTCTATTTTTAATTATAGCAAAGTATATTTACATTAAATTAAAACCACAGGAAATAATTTATAAAATCACAATACTAGTTTGGGGAGCAAGTGTGTTGAGGTCAGAGAAAAAGTCTCTGGAAAAGAAAGACCTTTTTACTGGGCAAATGCATATATATAGGAAATAAAGCCAGTGGTAACCATGTTTGAAAACCATATAAATATACTGTGAATAAACTAAGGCTCATGTATGTTGCAATTTTGATAAAATAATAATTTTAAAAACTCAGAAGTATCCATAGTGATTCAATTCACATTAACTAGACCATATTCCATATTTCATTTTTAAAAATTACACCTAAAGTCAATACCTCATAAAACAAAATTTTCACTCCCTAAAATCCTAAAATACAAATCCTAAAATACAAACACCTGATTAAAAGAATCATCCAAATTTATAATCATTATCTTAATAAAAATACACATAATATTGCCATATGATAAATATTTATTCACTACTTAAACACCAGATAATGATTAAATTAACTAAAAGGCTTAATTAGTTAAATGAATAATAATTTTTTTTTTTTTTGAAGTACAAATGCTGAGTAACAGTCATCGTGTAGTGTACATATCTTCATCAGGAGCTTTGTCAGAATGGTTCTCGCTTTTTTGATTGGAACTTGTTAAAATCTGTAAATAATTCATCATTTAAGAATGGTAGTACATATGCCTGAAGAATTTTAAACATAAAACAACACAGAAAATTACTTTAGAATTCTTTGATTGAAACTGCAAAAGAATTAACCTTGAACCTCCCTTCATTTTCTGAAATCTTGTCACTTGAAATAACTCCTACATGTAATAATTCTACCAACCTAACTTACATGAAAAACTACCTTATGTGAAATTTATGACAGGGAAGATTTTGGCACTGAGTTGTTATAGCATGGTAAATGTTTTCATATAACTCAATTCCATTACTATATAGTTTTTTTTTATCCTACACCAGATCTAGGCATGACTGCAATTAGACAGTGATGGGCAATCCAATGCAATTCAGAATCATTAAGAAAAGTACAATAATTTTTGACAGCATTAGCCATTGCCACGACATTTAGTCTAGAGCAAGTGTCCAAATGGTCACCACAACTCTTGCCAATATCACATAATGTGCAAAATGGAGAATCTGCTAAACCAAATCTGTGTAGGTGTTTCATAAGGTAGTAATGTCCAGTTTTTAATCTAAAGTTAGCAACACCAATAGGTCTAGGTAGGTTGCAAGGAATGGGATTCTCCATTAGGGAAATCTTCCCCTTAAAAAATGAGCTCCACATCTGGTTCCAATGATCCTCTTTGCACTGTGATAGCAAACAGGAGAATTGGGTTGAGGAAGGACAGATCCAGTCTTGGCCATGGTGTCAGCAAATTCATTACCCATGCACAATGACTTGGGATCCACTACAGAGTAACATTGCAATCATTATTTATTAGAAAATTTATCACAAGCTGAAATTTAGAGCAGATCCATTCTTTGAAAGTAAGACTGAAGAAATTGCCTTAATAGTGGCCTGTGAATCAATAAATATCACAATGTTCTGATCATCTCTTTCACTGATTTCAGTCAAGGCCAGTTAGACAACAGCCACTTCAGCCTCATCATAGTTGACACAATTTGCACCAACAGCCCCATCAAAGTTAAAAAGCCAAGAATAAACCCCTGCACCAGCATTACTATTAGCACCTATAGCAGAATCATCGGTGTATACATGCAACCAGTGTGTTATAATCTTTCTCCAGTAGTACCCAAAGCAGCCATCCTCAATTCTGTCTCAGCATAGGATTTTTAACTGGTTGTCAAAAACCAAGTCAAAATTATTATTATTATACTACAGCTATTATAATTATAGCCTATTATTACTATATTTATTATACTTATCCAGAAATCAACTATTACTTTGAAAATATATTCCTCTGTAATATTATGGCAATTGTCATATATTGTTTCTTTATAATACAGTACAAAGTACGAGATCTGGACATCCAATATCCAGAATTATCTGTAATCTGAACCTTAAAGCCACCAACAAAAAAATTTTTTAGGAATTTGTTTTAATGCTTTATGCATGCACATTTTTTTCCTGTAAGAAAGCATGTGGAGAATCCTGATTCTTAATTTCACTTCGGTACCAAATAAAATACATCGTTACTGAAGCGACAATTATTTTAGCATTAATTTGTGTGATCAATAATTTGGCTCCATAGCTGCATATCTGCTTTTTTTTGTAAAGAAATGTGAAGAAGCGGTAATAAATGATGATAATATAACAGAAATTTTTCATTGTGATGGGAATACTCCAATCATCAATCAATTAACGGACAGTTAAATCTATAGTATGGTTCTAGATCCAGAAAATACCGTTACTGGTAATGAAGAAAGGCACGGGAGGTTCTTGAAAATGAAAAATCTCGATTGACAAGTTAGACTACAGGACTTGAACAGTGGAACTTTGTAACTGAACAAAAAATTATGTCTGTCTACAGCATTTGAAGAGAAAGTATTAGCACAAAAAATTAAGCAGCTTAAACAAATTAGAGTCAAAGAAATGTTTAATAAAATAGACAAATAAATATTATGCTTTTTTTTTTGTAAATTTTGATAATCTTTAGATCATAGATGCTTCATTTTTTCATAAATCACGATTTCATATTTTTAATTTTATAATTTCTGCATGTCATCTCGCTAGATCATCACTGATGATCTAATATCCAGAAAAATCCCAAATCCAGAATCGCCAAAGTCCTCACGAGTCCGGATGTAGGACTTTGTACTGCAGATGGTTTGAAATACATTTAATTTCACTTTATTTAAACATTCTGTACAGTTATACCTCAAAAACCTATTATATTTCTGGTCAATCCAATTAATATGTCATTTTTTTTTCTAGTCTCTACTAATTATGCTACTGTCATACATTGTTTCTTCTTAACAGATGCTTTGAAATACATTTAATTTCACTTTATTTAAACATTCTATTCCGTTATACCTCAAAATCCCTATTAAGACTCTAGTCACTCCAATAAATAAGTCCTTTTTTTCCTGGTCCCAAGGAAAAAATGATATTTAAATGTAATATAAAAAGCATAAATGGTTGCAACCTCACAAACAATTCCTTGACACATTGGGAAAATGCCCCTTCTGACATCTGTTCACAGAGTAGCCATGTGTAATTTTTGTTAGTTTGAATTATCAGTAAACCTTGAGCCCATAGAAGCATCTTGATATGATAAGAAAAGTGAGATAACAAAATTAAAAAATTAGTGAATGAGGTAGTTGATGAATGGCAAGGGTAGGTTTCTGATCAAGGAAATGTGGAAGTTGTTTTCACCTTGTTTGTACACCAAAAATGTCCCTGTTTCAGATGACTTTCACATCATGCATGTTTTCTACAGACAGCATGGTAATAAATACCCTCTAACAGCCAAATTCAATTATTCCAAGTTTTATGCATAACATGACTTTTTCACAATTTTTTTTTTTTTTTTTTTTTTTTTTTTATAAAGGATCATATAAATCACATTCATTGTTATATTCCTAAAATCAAAATTGCACTTACATTCTTCCTTCTATAAAATAATTCATTTAATTTGGCCATCAGACTTTCATACATCATAACAGATTTCAGATAATCAACCTTTGCATTTGCTTCCTCTGCAATCTTTTTTGTATCATACCCTGCAAAAATGAAACATAAAAATTATTTATTTCTATATATGAAATATGAAAACCCGTGGCTCTGCAAAGCTAAAGATTGGAAACTTAAAATATAAATGGAACTTAATATCAACTAACAGATCATTTTATTGTATTCAAATAACTTATTAACAGGTTTTTATGCTTAAATAGAATTTTAAAAAATTAGACAGAAATTTAATTAATGGTTAATGAATTTAATAGCCTAATGTAAGCATAAGATGTTCCTCTAAATGTTTTATTAATACAAATAATGCTAGCACATTCATTTTTCAAACTTTGTTTACTCTCTTCTAATTGTTATATGAAGTCATCAGAAGGAAGAAAATGTAAATTTTCTCCCTCCTAACTAGTTTAAAGATGAAATCAAATTCTACTTATTTATCATCACATTTAATACATATACACTCTTTTAAGATATCTTAGTTTATTTGCATGAAAAATTGTTCTAACTTTGATTCTCAACATCACATTTGCATAGGACAGACAGTTGATCATTCATTCATGTATAATCAACTGTCTGTCATAGTTCTGACATTAATAAAAATAAACATACAACTCTAGACAATTACTGTGGCCAGTGTTATAAACTGGCACATTATAAGCTGACAAACCATACTACTACTAGTGAAACATGCAACACTTTTGAATATGTGCTCATACTTACTGCATTTTTCTATATATTGCTACATGTTATCAACTGTTTTCAAAATTTGCTTACTCTTTCGTTTCATTATTAGAAAAGAATCGTTTAATGGTTTGCTAAGCACAGGAATGGAAGTATGTTAAATTTTATTAATATTTCACACAAAATTTCTGCAGTTAACTTACAAAACTTAAAATTTCTAAGCTTCTTTTAATTTAGTGCTTACACATGCATGATTTAGTTATAGTATGCAAAGAAGGCACTTAAAATGACTGAAAGTTGGAAATGCATTATTGTAATTCTTTGCTGTAATGATTAATACTAACCATATTCAGCAAACCATCCTTTTTCTAAAGAACACCTATTAAATAATGAGAATGAATTCACAAAATTATTATTGTTACAAATTTTGTACCTAGACAATTGATTCCAATGCAATTATATGTGAAAATGTAGTTTTCCGTATAATGTAACATGAAAATTGAGAGAGAGAAGGCATGCCGGAAAAGTAAGAATACGGGGGCAAGTCTGTTTAACATTGATTAAATGGCTATCTCGGTAATTTGCCGAGCTTGGTGACCATTTTGCGACATTTTGGTCCAGTCCCTGTATCACCGTAACAAGTATTGTAATTGGATATATGTAATTGATCACTATTATTAGCTGCAACCATAATTCGATCATCATATTGCCTTCCAGAAATCTCCAGAAGCAGAAAAAACTACAAATATCTCAGTAGCCGGGTGAAAACTACAAAACGCTAGTGAAAGTATCTGGTCTCAGTTATAGTTGTTGTTGGCTGTTAGCTCTGCATGAATTCCATGTACTATTGATGATTCAACTTCACTCTATAGATGTGCTTTGCATTGGTATGTGTTTAATGTTCATAGTATTTTGAAGTGTAACAACTGGTTATACTCCATGATATTGTGAATAGTTATACAACTATTTTAGTGCAAAGTTCCAGATCTCTTCAGTGTTTCTTTTGATACAAAATTTTATCAACCTATAATTGGCACTGTGTGCATTCAATCTATTATGAACACATACACACACAGCACTTTTTGGTGTCAGAATGTTGGTGACAAGAGGGATGGATGAGTAACTAAGATAGCTTGTGATTGCTTTTGCTGCATTCCAAGAAAAAATGGAATCCACTCAAGAGAAGATGGAAACTGTTCAAGAATCCATTAAAGTAGAGATGAAAACTGTTCAAGAAAAGATTGAAGCATATTAAGAGGAAATTAAAACAGAAATTACCTGCATGACAAAAAAACAAATTCGAGGCTATGGAAAGCAGAATAAACACAGTTGAAGAAAAGGTTGGAAAAATTCAAGAGAGTTTCCGTGGTGAAACCCCAAACTGAAGAAAGAGTTTCTGCTTTATAAGAACAAATCAAACACATTGAAGACAGGATTTCTGCTGACATCGCCAAAAAATTTGGCACCTTAAAGAAATGCATAGCAAAAGCAGGAAGCAATTCTCATGGATTTAAATTTTCACCCATGACTTCTCTTCCCTCTTTGAAGCTATCCACACATGATGGTAAGACCCCCCTGGCAAGTATATAAGACATAATTTTCTATAGTGGCAAATAGATGGGATTCCCAAACTAAGGCCTGTCATCTCCGCGCATCTCTGAGAGCAGATGCAGCGGATATCCTTTAAACTCTTCCCGAAAACCAGAGGCCAGATTTTGAACCTCAATCAAGTGCATGGGAGCTGCACTTTGGAAACAAGTGCTTAAAAGATTATATAAAGCTTAAATTAAAATCCTGTCAATAGAAGACCATGGAAACACTCCAGAAGCTTGCCATGGATGATGAAAGGCTGTCTCATCTCGCCTTTTTGAAGTGCCGTACAGAAACAAGGGAAATCATGTTCCTGCTGTACTTCATTGATGGCATCTGGGATTCTAAAATACAGAAAGTCCTGAGAATGGCAGATGTCAAAGAGATAAAAGTGCTCTGGTATATGCCATGAAATTTCAGGCAGCCCAGCAAGCAACTTGTTCAGATCACCACCAAATCAGAGCTGTTCAAGCCCAAGAGCCATCTGACTGATCATCTGACTGCTCATCTAGACAATTTAACCTAGCAAATCAATCTCTTAATATGGAACAGGAGAGACAAAGTGACTGAAAAATGTTGGAACTGTGGTACTGAAAGCCATGTACGGAGGAAATGAAGAACACCCCAGGGCAAGGAAAATAAGACTGTGCTCCAGCAAGGATGCAAGAAACAAATTACTGGCCCTTTTGCACAGCAGATTTGGAAAGGTAACGAGAAGCTCCATTTTAAAGCAATTCAGATTTTTGCAATAAGTGGTGGCAGTAATGGCCTTTTCATCATGGGATATATCAATGGAGTTCCTTGCAATATGACTATAAAAACAGCTGGAAAATGTTTCCATCATTTGAATAGATCTGGCTCAACAGCTGGAAGGTAAACTCACCTGGACACCGCCCTGTGTTACCCTCCAGACTATGTCTGGGGAGAAGATCGACAAGGATGGAAAAATTAAATGTCAACATCATGTATGGAAATGACACCTACCATCACATGACATATGTAGCACACTTGGATTGGACTTCCTAAGAAATACAATTTTTCCTTAGACTTTAAAAATAACGAATTGAGGTCTGCCTCTGAGGACATAACCCTATTTGGAATTAATGATGAGGGAGTTAAATCTGTCCACCAAATCATTGCCTAAGACGTTATCACAGTACCAGCAAAAGCATAATTTTACTTCCTGGATTCATAGCAGGAAACAGAAATTTTCAGTATGGTATAATGGAATATCCCCAAAACTGTAACCTTGGCACTCATCAAACTATTGAGAAATTTTATCCTAGTGACAGTTAGTTGCCAATGTAATTGATAAGGCAAAAATTAGGAAAGGTGAAGTAGTTGCAGCATGTACTCCTGTGATCTGCACGAAACAAAATAGTAACCCTCCTGAATCTGTGCCATTGGAGAGTCTAACATTGGAGTTATTGCAAAATAAACAACTAAGCAATGAAGAAAGGAGTGCTGCCGAATGCATCATTCAAGAATTTCAAGAAGTTTTCTCTCGCTCATCTTCTGATGTACGTCAAACCAGTTTGATACAGCAAAAAATCATTACTAGGGATCATCCACCAATCAAGCAACATCCAAGATGTCTAATGATTGCTAAACAGGAAGAGGTAGGAAAACTTCTACAGGTTATGAAAGAAAGCAATATTGAGCCATCAGCAAGTCCATGGTCCTGGTCAGGAAGAAATAAGGTTCAACACATTTAGCATTGAATATTGCCAGTTCAATGAGGTTACAAAGAAAGACAGCTACCATCTTCCTAGAATACACGATATTTTGGACACTCTATCAGGAAGCAAGTGGTTTTTGACATTCATTTAAAGCGTGGACATTGGCAGGCAGAGATACACCCTGATGACCAGGGAAAGATGCCATTTACTACCCGACAAGAACTTTGGCAGTTCAAGGTGATGACGTTTGCACTATGTAACGCACTGGCAACATTTGAATGCCTCATGGAGACCGTGTTGAGAGCTCTTTCCTATGAAGCCTGGCTGATACACCTGGATGACATCATCATTGTCAGGAAAAGTTTTAAAGAACATATAAAAATTCTTAGAAAGGTGGTGGTTCAGAAACTGAAGGAAGCCTACCTAAAATCCCGCCAAATGTAAAATGTTCAGACAGGAAGTGACTTACCTTGGACATGTCATCTCAGCCCAAGGTGTATGTACAGACCCAGAAAAAGAAACAGGAATTAGATTGAGACACCCCAAAATGTCCATCAGCTGAGAACTTTCCTGGGGTTTTCCACCTACTATAGGAGATCTGTGAAGGACTTTTCTTGCATCGCAAGACCTCTTCATAAGCTTACAGAGAACAAGCAAAGCTACTTGTGGACCAAAGAATGTGAAGATGCACTTAACAAACTAAAGGAGGCTTTAATATCTGCTCCAACCTTAACCTAGCCTCAGCTCAAGAAACCATTTATTCTCAACACAGGTGCGAGCAAGGAGAGTGTTGATGCTGTTTTGTCCTAAGAAATAAATTGTCACGAACATACCGTAGCCTACTGGAGCAAGTGTCTATCTAAACCAGAACGGAATTACTGAGTTACCAGGAAAGTGTTGCTTGCCATAGTTAAGCTGTACAATATTTCCATCATTATGTCTAATGCAGAAAATTCCTGCTCCACACAGATCATGCATTGTTGACCTGACTCTTATATTTCAAGAATACCAAAGGTCATATAGCTAGGTATATGCTGAAACTCTACGAATATGATATAACTAGTTGTCACTGGAAAGGATCATTACAGGGAAATGTCGATGCCCTGTCTGGGAAATGTCTACAGGGAAATGTCGAAGACCATTCCAAGAAAGCTGCTCATCTTGTTCCAGGATTGAAGTGAAAAATGAGCTGCTTAATCCAGTTGAACCTCATATTACGAATTAGAAATATCTTGGCGGCAGGGTAGAAACTATAAAAGGCCATTAAGAGCATCTGCTCTCAGTAGTTGTTCGCTCAACGTGAGTTCCGAGTGTTTATAAATTTATCATTGGAACTGTATGCATTGAATCTATTATGAACCCGTATGCACACAACATTTTTTTATAATTATTAAAGTTATTAAAAGAATATTATTTGATGCTATATTGTACCACAAAGATACAGGCATGCAAATGCACGAATTATATCAATAGAACTGACAGCAATCATATCAGAAAAAGGCTAAGAACACACCAAATATTGCAAATGTTACTTCTATAATGATTTGCTTAATATCAGTAACAGCCTGTAGGTTGCATGCAACTTTTGAGTTCTTCTATGATATTAGGCAAACCAAAATTTGCCATTAATATTTATTACAGATTTCTGAAAATATGTACATATTTCATATGTTTACCATCTTAGGGAAATTTTCAGAACTTGACACACTTTTTAAATAATAATGATGATAACTTTTGATGCTGCCTCATTCTTCATATGACGGAAACTCTACGGTTTTATTAACTTGACATGGAACTTTGGAATGTAATAACTAAACTTTGGAATGTAAGGGCATAAATATTTTACTAGAAAATGCATAGAATATAGCATCTTAATTACTGCTGAACTTACTCTTTCTATAACAAGGCTACAATAAAGATACTTTTAAATAAATATAACAAATAATTTCTGAAATAAATAGTATTTATTACACCAGGTGATTTTTCTAAATACTGGTTGAGTAGAACATACTGTGCAGTGAACAAAATTAGCCTTTTAACGCAAGAATGTCATAATTGTATTTCTCATTTAATAGAGCTTTCAACAAATGTACTTTGGCTTGAAAGTTATGGCCGTTTACTTTTCTGGCATATAATAATCTACTTGTTATTTGTTGGAAACATACTGCAATAGACTGGTGTTCAAAAAAAATTATAAATATAAAACACAACTTATTAACTCCAGGAAAAAGTAAATTAGTATGAATCATGCAACACTACATAAGAATATTAAAGCTGGGCATGCTCAAATAGCATTAGCTGATCAATTGCCAAATGGTGCACACTGTTATTATGGATGTATTAACAAAATTCAAATGGTTTTTACTCTTGATGGGAATGAATAGATGGAATGATCATGGAGAGATAGATGGGTGATAGGTGTAACAACAAAATTTGTTACTGCTTAAATCATAATAATGTGCATGAGCTGCTTGCAAAAGACTGATAGTTGCTGTCTTATCAAAAACCACTCACTATTTGCCCCACAAAATAAACAGTAACCTGCAACAGTATGTGACACCACTAAGCAGTAACAAAAGACAACATAGCACATGTTAGAACATGTAATTACCAGGTAAATGCAGACCTTTTATCTGATGACCAATGTGTTGTAAATTTATTAGGCATATCTGCTTAAACTCCATGGAATAAATACAGGACTAACCAAGAATATGCATTTGGACATGCTAACAATCATTAACCCTTTGCAGTACAGTATGTCCGGTCTGGACACAACTAAAAATTTCATTCTATACACAGAAAAATTGAATGAAAAAGGATTTATAGGTTACTCTGAACCTTCTTTATTTATAGAAGATGGCAGCTCAATACAAACCAGTCCATATATTTTAGCCGTGTTTAGTTTTTTAAGACCCTCATTTTTCAAAGAAATCTTCCAGATTTTTTTAAGGGTATAAAAGGAATTGCTTAAAAAGAAATTTCTCTGTTATTTTTTTGGCTGTATGCTAATCTCTTTATTCTATATTAGTTTTAAATTTTTACAGTGAAATCTTGCCTAAAATCAAACGATGAACCCTAGGTGTGCTCAGACTGGGCTCACCGATAATCTAGGACAACTGAGAGTCTGTTTTCTTTGTTTCTCCGCATCTCATCGGTCAGTTCATTGACAACAATGCTCGTTTCAGCACTCTATTCAATCAGTGTGCCACTTTGGCCACACCCACAAAATTAAAACGATAAGTGCCATCTTCACAAAATTTTACTTGTGTACTACTCTAGGCCTAATTAAACTGCCTACCTTTTCTTTAATCAAAACTCCCACTTTAAAAGGTAACGTGAAGGAAAGGGTTAAAAATGACACTGTCAGAGGTTACCAGAAATATTGCATAAAGTATAAACAACGTAAGCTACGAATCGATATTAGATGATAACATTTCCCACACAGGAAAACTTAATTTCCACAGCACTTCTGACAGCAATGCACCTTTATCAAGAGACTTAGTGTTGTCTAATTGTTTCTGCATAATCGCACAGCATTGCTGCATCAGTGTTCCTTTCATTTCCATTCTAGCGTCCCCATTTTCCTGTGGTGCGAAACTCCAACAATTAGGTTTCTTATGTGAATAGCTAAAGTGGAAACACAGCTCGTTTTTATGGTGAAATCCATGTATTTTCACAGACAGCATATTTTACAAAGAATAAAATGAAATTCCTAAATAAAAGGGCTTGATGATTTTTTAAGATATAAAAGTGCCAAATTTACAAATGATAGAAACTATAACAATCAAAGATCTTTGCTTTGTGAAATATGCATTTATAAAAATATCATATTAGTTACTTCTCATTCAAATACATATTGTTATTACTTCACATTTACAATATATTGAATGATCTAAAATTCATTGAATTCAAAAACAAAATTTTCTAATACTTTCATTTAGATTGAGTTCTTTGATACTCTACTTTGGCTATAAATCCCATCACTTCACAGAACTACAATTTTGGCTTAACTTAATTTGCCAGTTTGGCATCATCATTCTTACTTGAGTAAAAGATGAAACATATTCGCATTTATTAATTATTGTTCATTGAAAGGGAGCTGGTTTGTTCCCTTTCAAAAGTCAACTAATTTTTGATCAATAGAGATAATTGCTTTTTTTTTTTAATTTTTTAATTTCTTTTTCAAAGTTTGAAATTTTGCTATTTATGATTTAAATTCAAGTCCCCTTAAAACGTTTTTTCATGATTTACATTCAAGTTCCTTTAAAAAACAATTTTCGGAATTTAACTTCCTACTTGTGGGTTTCCTCATTTTGATACATTCTACTAAATTTATATTAGAAGATAATAAATCAAATTTTCTTAGTGTGTGTGGGATTATATATATATACTAAAGAATATATATATATATATATATATATACACACACACATAAACTAATAAACACTTTGCATATGTTTAATATTATCTCCTCAATAATCTGCATTAATGCCAACCTCTTTTGCCAAAGTTTACAGCTAAACTAAGTATAATTTAATGTCTAGTCCATGTGCCTATTACACACATTTTGCAATAAAGAATAATTTTAAACAATTCCAAAAAATAATGTTACAGTAATGGGTAAACTCAAAGTTGAAAGAAAAAGCACTGTAAACAGAAACTAATGCAATTGTTATAAATACAGAAGTAATCTTTTCTATAAATAAAATGTAATTTTCTCCAGAAAAGGGAAAAAATTTATCTTCAGGTCTTCCTACCCACAAACAAAGAGGGGAAGTAAAGTGCAGTAAAATATTAAATATAAAAAAGTATTTACCATGCACTACACAAATATCCAGCCTAAATGGCTGCATTTACGCATAACCAATCTGAAACACAAGTTAATGAAATAGACATGTCTGGAAACAGTTTACAAGCACTTTATTTCTTTTACGGTATTCAAGATAATTCAGAAAGAACAGGTCCTATTATAGAAGTATAGAAATTATTAAAATTCTACGTTAATTAAGATATTTAAAAAAAATTTTGAATTGTACTAACTGAATCACTGTTAGATAATCAATTAAAATTAAATACAAATTAATTAAATTATGATGGTGCACAACATCATTTTCACAAATTCTAGACAGGATACACTGAAGCCAGACTTTCATCTGAACACTTTGTAACCCATGTTAAGCTATTTTTTGTCTTCCCCCAACAGAAAAAACTCAATTTCCGCATGCCAAACAGAAGTAAAAACTAAAGATTTGAATATGGAAATATAGAGCTGGAGTAAGATGAATTTTATACAACATGAAGGCTATAAATTAAAGGATTGTAAAATAAGAGATTAAATCTGAAAAGCTTTTCTTTCTTCAAATAAAATCATTTTTAATGTAAAATTACATATATCTGATATTATAGTCATCTAGGTGACTAACACATACAAACAAGCACGCACACATACATACATATATATCTTAGAACAGAAAAATTACCTAAAAAAATTTTATATTACATATTTAGGTTAAATGTTTTGTTGTTTGACTCCTAAATTAATTTTATATTACCTCCATATTTCTCCAATATAGAACTTGTTTGATTTTTAGTGTAGTCTATGCTGACTAATAAATATTCTTTGGTCAATGAAGGATAAAAAGCTGAAAAAATTATGGCCGAACCCGCAGATGAATAAAATATTTTTCGAAAGATTCCTCCTAAAAAAGAACAAATTTTACGTTTAGCAGGGAAAAGAAATTATACATAACCAAAGCTTTTTATCAAACAACATGCACAATTTAAACATGGAAAAAAAATTCAAAATATAAATGAAATTTTTTTAATTAAATGAACAAATATGCCTCCTGTTTTTTAAGACAAGGAAAAGAATTCAATATATAAATGATACATAAAAAAAAGTATTAATGATACATGAAAAAATATGCCTCATGTTTTTTAAGAGTCAGATTAACAGAATGATCAACCAAATGGTCAGAAAGATAACTTGGCTGTATCACAAATTAAAACAATAAAAATGATGTATTTTTTTAGATATAGATACCCAATTTTTCTCTTGTTTCAAGACAGAACTGTCAAAGGCTCATATATACAAACATAGCTATATGCATTTCAACCTAATTTGGGTTGATATTTTTTAATAAAACTGACTCTAGTTAATTACATGATAAATGTGCTGCTTTCCTAATAACATCCCCCCCTCCTCCTTTAGCAGATAAGTACTTGCAGGAAAATTGATGACGCATCATCTAATTTTTGCTTCTTTAATACCATGAAAAGTTCCATTAAAATTTAATAAGTAAAAATAATTATGCAAAGGAAATTTGATGGTTCATATATATTAATTTTATTTATTAATGCATGTCAGGTATAGGTTAAGTTCCAACAGACTTAAAACTATTTTTTAAATTTACCTTTGTTGTCATTCTCATTAAATGCACAATAATTCAATGAAGTATTATTTTATTGCATTATTCATCTTCCTCACACTTTTCCTTCATAGTGCTTTAACATACGACTTGAAAACTTCTGATTTACATTAACAACGTACATGATATGGACAGATAACAAAGTACATCATGCAAGAAAAAAATAACAGTAAAGTATTAAATGAAATCCTCAGATTTGGTAGACACTGCATGATTATTTTCTTCTTGATTTTCAAAAGGTACAGTTAGTTACAAAAGGATGCAATATAAGCTAGTAATTTTTCCCCCCTCAAAGCTTCAATGGCTAGTTTCAGAAATAAACACACACATATCATTTTAAATTTACATTCACATTTTTAATAGAGATTCCCTACATATTTCTTAAATTCAAAATGACACATTCTTTTTCTAAAACTTTTCATTTGGCATAATTTTGAAAAGTCCAGGTAATATGTTTTGAAAAATGCTGGTGTCCAAAATCTAACCTTACATAAAGATAGTAAATATTTCATGAATCAGTCAATCAATGGTTTACTTTTTATTGAATGAAGAAAGGCACACTTGGCTATCATTGCCCAATCCAGTTTGATTAGACTGTTTATGAAATACAAATACAGCATGATGTCACTTCCAGGCATTCCAAGCAAACTCCGTAAAATGTTTTCTAGAGAGTTTCTTTAATTCCATTTCAGTGTTTTTCAAGTCAAAAGGTTTTTTTTTTCTTTTGGTTGGTACCAAAGTATTGTCAAATGAAGACTCTTTTGGGCAAAATGCTGCTGACAATTTAAAAACAGGGCAGACAAAATGGCCAGATGTTTGACAACTTCTGCCTTCAATTCTTTAAATCACAAATGACCTGAATAGTCACAAGGCAACTATGGCAAGATCATGCAGAGAATATCAAAGCTTGAGTCTACAGCAGGTTCCAGAAATGGCAATATGTTATGTAAAACATCAAACCTCAGTATACTATCTGGAAGTCTCGCAGCTGTGTTTGCATGAAGAGAATGGTATTTATGAAAACAGATTGTTCCACAAATCAAATTTGGTGAAAGAAGCATTATGATCTTCAGGAGAAATTTGAATAAAGCAACCTATCTTAACATTTCAAAAATTTAGCACACCTGTATTGTGTGTCACACTTTGATGTGAAGATCATCCTACTTCTATCAGATCAGACTCCAAATCACGCAACATATACTACAAACACATTATTTTCCAATTTGAATAATGAGGAAATGGATTGGCTGACTTAGATTTCAGACCTTATTCCACAGCATACCAGTGAATTAAAAATTACATTAATGTTTAAGAACTTACTCTCCTACAAAAATGCAGAAATATTTCAACAGTAAAATACTAAAATAAAGTGGACAGCCCTTCTAATAAAGTGACTGCTATCACTGCAGGTAAATGGAGTTGTATACAATAAGGAATGAAATGAAATGATGCTTATTTATACTTTGAAGAACCATTTTTCACAGTATACCATTTTTTAATGCATACTTCAATTTTGCTGACTTCGTCACCTTTACTTTAGTTCACGTAGAAAGCTGAATAATCCATAAAATAAGGGTCTTCAAATTGCCCACTCAACGAAGATACCAGCTTCATGAAAACATGTTTATATTTAACATACACGCAAAAAAAAGGCATACATTTTTAACATATAAAACTACTGGCAGATTATTGTGCTGATAGTGGATTGTTCGTATGCCTTTTCATCCACAGTAACTCAACTGTTCTTTGTGGTGAAGTTTTTCACCGGTGCCTCCAATGTCCACAGTTGTCGAAATTTGCTTACTTGGCATTTATTTTTATTTTTTAATCTTTCACATCTCTCCTTGGTAAGCATATACGAGGGCCATCCAGGAAGTAGATTACGTTTCCATCTGTGTCCGCTAGGGGCGGGGCTAGCGCGGCCATCTTGGGGTCAGAGCGTTGCGCAGCTCAGTCTGCATCTAGCCGTGCTAGTGAGAGGTTCGTGCTGTGCTCCGTTCAGATACTGTGACGGTTTGAAATGTCTGCGTTAATTGAAAATCCCGCGAGCTGCGAGGTGCGCTCAGTAATAAGGTTTCTGACTGCAAAAAACTGTTAAACCGAGAGAGAAATCTATCGGCAGCTTCGTGAAGTGTATGGGGACAACATTATCACTGAAGGTGGAGTGCGTCAGTGGGTCATAAGATTTCAAAATGGCCGAACCAATGTTCACGACGAAGATCGAAGTGGGAGACCCAGCATAGTGACCGCCGAACTTCTCGAAAAAGTTGATGCTAAAGTCCGTTGAAAATCGAAATTTCACAATAACGGAACTTTCTTGAGTGAGTGTTCCACAAATTTCGCGAAGTTTGTTGCACGAAATCATCAGCGAAAAGCTTGGTTACCACAAGTTTTGTGTGCAAGATGGATTCCAAAAATCTTGACAGAGGACCACAAAAATCAGCGAATGGCTTGCCAGCGTTGAACTTTTTGGACGCTTACCATAAGGATGGTGACTCTTTACTCGATCGCATCGTTACTGGTGACGAAACATGGGTGAAACATGTGAACTGTGAAACGAAATTGCAATCAATGCAGTGGGGGGGCACACAAGTTCTCCCCAAAAACCCAAGAAATGCATGCAAACCAATGTCGGCAAGGAAGATGATGGCGACTGTTTTTTGGGGACAGAAAAGGTGTAATTTTTGGTGGACTTCCTGGAAAGAGGCACTACAATAAACTCTCAAAGGTATTGCCAAACTCTCCAAAAACTCAGAAGAGCAATTCAAAGAAGCGCAGAGGAATGTTGAGCTCTAAGATCTTGTTGATTCACGACAACGCCCGGCCCCACACGGCAAATGTCACTCGTAAAGTTCTTGAATCTTTTAAGTGGGAGTTGTTTCCTCATCCGCCGTACAGTCCCGACCAGGCACTGAGCGACTTCCACCTATTCCCAGCAATGAAGAAGTGGCTGGCTATGCAGCGTTTTGATGACGACGCACAGCTGCAAGAAGAGGTAACGAAGTGGTTGAAGGCGCAGGCGGCCGAATTTTTCGACGAAGGAATTTCCAAGCTCGTACATCGCTACGATAAATGCCTTAATTTGTATGGTGACTATGTAGAAAAGTAGTATTTGAGTGTGGCTTTCATCTGTATATAATAAAATTTGTTTCCTATACTTTGTTTATTTTTTTATTCCAAAACGTAATCTACTTTCTGGATAGCCCTCGTATATCACTTTGAGATCATACACATAGTCAGAATTAAAGTTCTATTCTTCGTGTATTCTTCTATTGACTGTACCACTGCACCCCTGACCATACTCACAAAGTCCTACTTAGAATGTGCCATCTGACTGGAGTACACAAGATCATATATACATAAACCACTGCATAATGAACACTTACATGATTAACATGACAAAATTCCGAATTTCAGTTAGCATATTTGACATCAATATACAGAATAGTCAGTAGCATTTAGTTACCATGGTAATTATACATTAAACTCTGATAGTATTTCTTAACAATTATAAAAATACAATAATACTAACAATATATGGATGTTTCTCTAAAAGTTACAGACATTATGTTAACTCAAGCTATTCTCTATACAATGTCACTGTATAAGATGTATACAATGTCACTATACTAGTCACTGTATAATGTATTTCTCCCACTTTCCTAGCGTGCCTTCATGGTGTAGTGGTTTGCAAGCTGGGCCAGCATTCCAGAGGTCCGTGGTTTGATTCCCAGCAAAGGCGGATGCTAATTTTTCATCTCACTGGCTTTTGCAATTAATATAATGTCTCTACAACTGAGTCATTGCATGTTGTCATCCTTTTCAGCATGAAATCTTTATGTTATACCTTTGTAAAGACAATGCCCAATGCACAAGCTTGGCTCTGTGGGAATCAATTTGTGTTAGACATGTAAGAAGATTATGGTCAGATATGACCTGAACTTCTGAGATTCATATACCAGCTTCTGATGAGCTGACAGAACATTGTAGACTTTTCTCACAACTATAGACCATCTGCTTTGATAATACATTAGTTTTTTACTGAAAAATACTATTGGATGTTCTTTCCCTTGATTACCTGTTTGAGACAGACAGGCACCAAGAGCAGTCGTTGACATTTCAGTATATAGTTGGAAAGATTTATTTAATACTGGAGTGAATAGCCATGTTGAAAAGAAACTGCATTAATTTCTGAAAAGCTATTTCATCTTCACTGCTCCATGGGATATTAGTGGATGCTCCCTTAGACACTAAACAGGATAACACTAAAAAGGATAACACTAAAATGGCAAAATTCAGAATGTAATCATGGCAGCAGCTGCCAAGTGCTAAAATACAGCACACTTCCTTTTTATTGGTTGGTCTAGACATCTTCATAGATCCACTTTTTTCAGGGTCTGTTGAATGTTTTCAAGAACCTATTATATGGCCAAGAAATTTCACATTCCTTTTCCTAAAATTGATCTGATTTTAGATTTAGATTTATAGTAAGACCTACTCTTCATAATGTCTTGCATAATTCTTTTACATGTTTTAAGTGCTGCATCCAGTCTTCAGAAAAAATTGACAAATTATCATTGTTTGAGAGACAGTATTTTTTGTGTGGGCGTAATACTTTGTTCACTACTTTTTTAAATGCATTTTCTACATTTTTCATTTCAAATAGTAATAATCTCCTCTGACGAGAGAGTTGTGAATACTGTAAAATGCTTATTGTCTTCGCTCTTCGAGATCTGCCAGTATCTCTTCGTAAAGTCTAATATAGTCTAACTCAATCTCATAGAGCAATTCTGTCACATGTTTCATTGACTACGCATCTGGAACTGCAAATTTATTCAACAATCTAAAATCAACTCATTAATTTGCTGACCAATTTCTTGAAATGTAATAGGGATTCAAAATAAGTGTAATTTTTTGGAGTACACACAGGAATAATTCTGATAGAATTCTCAGCAACTTTCACACTGCCATTATTGCTACTAAAAACATCTGCAAATTGGCATAACATATATTACTGACTTCATGATGTTATTTATTCAGTCTCTGCCACAATTTTCAATACTCCCTACTATCTTCTTGTGTCTTTTTACTTTGATCAGCAGAAGCATAGTGTACATTTCTACAGTCATAATCCTGGTCACAGCTCAGTCTTACCTGTTGCAATCTAGACATGTTCAGACGTGATTTATCTACATGAAACTCTCTCGTATCCCATTTTCCAACAGCAATTATCCCAGTAATAATGGCTTTTTGTGCACACATTAGTATAAGTAATAAGCTTATTTTACATAAAATATCCCTAGAATGTTGGCCCTTTTTTTTTTCACATATGCAGGTAGTAATAAATATTTTACATAGCTTTACATTTATTTATTATTACAAACCTGGAATTTTAGCTGTAACTTAATATTTTATCTCAGCACAGTCTATTTTAAAACAAAGAACAGAACTGAAAGGATATTTTCAGTACATTTTAAAACAAAGAACAAATGAAAATTAGAACATGCAAATTGCAATAAATATAACTTTGAAACTATTTTATATGCTTTTCATAAGAAGATTATGAAAGTTTATTAATTGGCAATTAACCTTTACTGAGTGAAACCTTCACCAAATGCATCTGCTGTGTATCGTAGATTTTTCACTACGAAATTAACCGTTTTACTGCTAAGCAATTCTTGCAAGAACGCATGAAAACTGCGGGTTTTATTTGACTTGATGTTGTCAAATAAAACACTTTCATTTAGACAAATATCAATCAATTTTAATAATTCTTTTCGTATTATAAAGCAAGAAAGACACACTGAAACTCGCACTACGAAATTAACCGTTTTACTGCTAAGCAATTCTTGCAAGAACGCATGAAAACTGCGGGTTTTATTTGACTTGATGTTGTCAAATAAAACACTCTCATTTAGACAAATATCAATCAATTTTAATAATTCTTTTCGTATTATAAAGCAACAAAGACACACTGAAACTTGCAGCACAAAAGCGCTGTGTCGCGGTTTTCGAGACAAATGAACGCAGTGCTTTTGCGCCATGTAGCAGTCAAACGGTTAAGAAGAGAAATAAAACCTAGAAAACTGTACTTACTGTCAGGTAAAGAAGAATAAAACATATGGTCACTAACACCATACAATAAAAAAGGAAAGTAAATAATATGGGTTACTCAAATTATAAAACTTTAAAATGGTGTTGTACTAAATATGGGCAAATCAGGCTGTGCAAGAAATGGTGACCTATATCACATGTGGGCAAAACTGTTAAAAGTAACTTATTTGACCTGCAAGAGATTCAGATTTATACACACAGCACTAAGGTAATAAGAGTAGGTGAATGAAATTCTAATAATTGTAATTAACAACTTTACCTCTCCTAGCAGCTATGAATCCCAGTAAACCTCCTGATGCAATCAGCATTACACGAGATATTTTATTCTCTTCACTTTTCAGATAATCAAAGGTACCTAGATGAAGAAGAATAAAAATTACAGACAAAAATTAATTTGAAGTAAGTAAAATTAATGTAAAAATGCAGCACAAAAATTACAATAATTTTTATACTGATGTTTAAAAGGAGCAATTTTTCATAATGTACTAGGCGTGTAGTGCTTACATATAATGATGATTTTGCATTTTCGTTCAGTTAAAGACTTTTTAACCAATAACTAATTTTATGCAATTCTAAAATACCAATAACTAATTTTATGCAATTCTAATACTGCATATGCAGACAAAACTAAATAAATATGTGCTTCTGATATAAAAATAAAAGATAAGTAATATGTTACCTGAATATATTTTTTAAATATTTGTTCATCAAAGAGAGACATGTATGAAGAATCATTTCAATATTAAATTTTTAAAAAATATCATATTTCTAAATCAAATTTTGAAACATATTGCTTCACCTAGTTGTATTATCGACCACTAAATGTGAGCAAAATATGAGCTTGAAAATAGTTTACAAATCAATAACAAACTTTTGACAACAGTGACAAATATCATGACTGAAATAAATAAAAGCTTATAGCAATAATTTTACAGTACTAAATTCTGAACGTGTCATTTTTGTCATACAATTTATGACAATGTGATTTTCTGACATTTAATATTCTACTCTTAAACTTTTTTTAAAGTAATAAACATTAAAGACATACTTTGGGAGTGGGCCAATCCAGTTTCATATACATTTAATGCTTTTTTTCGGAAACTCTAAAAAAAAGATGTGAATTTTGTTGATTGAATGAAGAGAAACTATTATTCTCAGCAAAATGCTAAAACAGCCATAACAGTATAAAATCCATAATAACAATATAAAATTCATAAATTTCATTCCAGGAAAAAATTTACTTACATCAAAATAAGCTATGTAATCAGTCATTTGTTTTCTTATTATTGATATCTCTGACACTAAAGACATCTCAGCTACTTGAACACATTCCATATTCTGATCCCCTCTTTTATCATACAATGGCAACTGCAATTAAACAGGATACCTTCAATTTCTGATATATGACAAGACTAAAGATGTGACTTACTTCCTTTAGGCAATAATGGGTTAAAAAAATCCATTAACAATGCTATTACACATTACAATGGCAAAACATCATAACCATACCACAAACAACAAAACTAACAAGTAACAAAGTACATATAATGCAAATATTATTTGTCAGGTAGATGTTGAAATACACCTTTTTAATGAAAAACTGCAAAAGCATAAACTTTGAGTACTCACATACATACATCACTAGAAATTAATAAGGGAAAAAAAAAAACCTTATCAGCAGATGTTAGCTGCTGCAATAGATTTAGGAGGTGTGGGAGTACCTCATTTATATTCCGGAATTCTAGCTAGTCTTTGGAACCAGACTAGTGAGTAGAAATTTCAGAATCCTCAAAGATAAAATGGTATCTTTTTAATAACTACATCAAAGTTAATTGTCACATACTTCATACATATAACTCAAATTTAAAAATAAATACTGTTAATAAAAATATACATAAATCAAGAAAATATTAAGCTTTATAAAATTATCTGTGATCACTCGCATAATCCAATTTGAGCAATAGGAATATCTGAATGGAGAGTACAATTTGATTCAAGTTTTAATTTTGTCAACAGAAGCATTTCAAGGTAGTGGACCAGAAACAGATTCGGATGTTACTGCCTGAACTCATCTGCTTCTGTAATGTATAATAGTGTAATTGACTAATATTTTCTGTTCACACTAAAATTATGCTGAATATCTTCAGTCAATTTAATAAATTTTTGCAAACATTTTAAATTAATAATTATTTGCATTAAAAACTATCCTATTTTTCCAAGAAGCTAGATAAGCTAGAAGATTTTCATATATAATCTTAGTTAGATATTTTGTCACTTTCTGTTTATTCACATCCCATCTCCCAAGCTGCTGACTAATTTTTCCACCAACCTAATATGTGAAAGGCAACAGCTAGTTTCAAAATTGTGGTGTACTAAGAATTTCATAAAAGAGTTACTAATAGACCTAGTTCACTATATCATCTTGAAAGTGTTTAGCCCAGGAATCATCAAAGGGATGTCAATGAGGAGAGTGTTTTGAACAAGAAAAGCACAAAAGGCATAAGCTATCTTCAAGTTTCTGTTAAGACAAAGAAACTTCAACATCATTTGATTTAACTCAAGCCAGCAGGCTGCTCAAAATTGTACAGGATTACAGCCTATGTTAACACAGTTTATAAATAATATCAAATAAAGTTCAGTGAAATTCTGAGGTTCATTATGCTCTGTTAAGATTTCAAGTGCTAATGTCTACTGGGTGAAAGTTATACAAAAAAAAAAAAAAATTTGCAAAAGAGATTCTAGTTCTTTCTAGTGGAAGGCTCCTGGATATGACATCTACAGTCTTAACACAGAACTGGGTACATATGATCTATGTTAAAAAGGCAGATTTCAGTTCTCTGGTCTAGATTTTGCCGAAATACATTCATGGCTGTTACCTTACACAGATAGAAATGGTGAATTACAGTCTCATAATGGACGGCTTCAGGCTGGAGTTGAAGCTACCTTAGCCCAAATTAGAGAAAAGTTTTGGTTAATGAAAGGTCAACAATTTGCCAAATCCACACTCAATAGATGCTTTTTTGTGTAAACAATGTAACATGTGTGCCAGGACTCAAGAAATCACCTTTTTACCACTTGATTATGCTTTGAAATCAAATTCATTTTCAGTAACCGGACTTCATTATGCTGGCCCCCATCTTCACAAAGGGTAGCAATAACAAAGACTTTACCTGCTTATACTTACCTGTGCTACCACTCAAGCTTTACATTTAGAACTTATCCCTTCTCAGAACATAGAAAACTTTATGCATGCATACCACAATTTTTTTTTCTTGTCAAGTTTTCAACAATACATTCTGACAATGCTGACACATTCTAGTGTGGCTTTTTGAGAAAAACTTGAAAATGTATGCAACAGCCATCTGTTGGGAAATGCATACATCATCATAATCAAAATTTGTTTTCTACCCAATTGTATGAAATGAAACTATATTGTTGAAAACGGAGCATGGTATGGAGGATTCCAGGAGAAGCATTTTAGAATGATTAAACTTGTTTATGAAAAATAGTTGGATACTTTAGTCTCCCTTTAAATGAGCTAGAAACAGTTTTCATTTAAATCGAAGCCAAAATTAACTCGAGACTGATTACGAGTATTCAGAGAAGACCTGATTATGTCTACAAATTCCTTGATCAAAAAGTATAAACATCAACAAACCTTGTTAAATCATTTCTAGAATTGTTAGAGAAAGGATTATTTGCTTTTAAAGTCCATGAACTTCCGTAAACCTACTAAAATGGTTGGTGAGTTTAATGTTAATGATGTACTTGTACATTTCAACTGCTTCCCTTGGAATTAGTATTACTAATACAATAAGAACAATAGGTAAGATAGCAGAAACTATTTTGGGAGAGATGGTCACGCTCTCTCCTTTCTTATAAAGATACGTAACTTAGAGATTAGTGTAACCGTCATACAATCCTGGGGTTTATAATTATTAGTAATAAAGAGAATTATGTAATAATTTGAATTTTTGTTGAGCAACATAACTATCATTTATTGATTATCTTGATGACTGTTGTTAACTGAGATTTTTTTAAAAGTCTAATTATTATTCCAGTATAATTGATTAATGCTTCAAATATTTACTAATTAACTCTACAAGTTTCTTTAATATAATTAAACATTACTTGTTTTGTTTTTTGCAATTTGATGTTTAAAATTTTGTGGCTTATTTAGTAATATTCATTTATTATGCATTTGTTTTGTATGTGAACCTGAGTTCACAGATGGGGAATATTGAAAAGAAACAGATGGCACTTTTTGCAGTGTGTGGTTGCTTGCTAAGTTCTTTTTATAATAATTTAAATAGCAAAAATCAAAAAGCAAGAATCAATATTTTCCATATATAACATCTTTATTATTCTTTGTAGCCCTCACTAACTCCTTACTGATTTTATGGCATGACAACCTTCTGAAACTAAACTGAAACTAAAGGTGAAGTGAAAGTAGTAGTCATTATCTAGTAGAAGTAGTTGTAGTTATTATGACCAATAATAATTGTTGCCTACATCACTCCCCTACCAGTAACAAAGTTACGTTACTCTGAAAACATGGTGGGAGAGAAGATACAAATATCTATACAAATAACACTGATACAAATATATAAATTGAAATTATGTACACAAAAAAAAAACATAATTAAGTTTTAAATTAATATGAAAAGAGTTATAAGTTCAAGAAGAGTCAATAACGTCATTGAAACGAACTGGAAGTTTTACTTGTCTTCCACATCGTGTTAATTTTTTAGGTTGTTCTAGTTGCTGACTTGGCACTTGTTTGCTTACTTGGCACAGATGTATGATCACTTTTTGAAGTTGGAGACAAAAGTTCATTAGGTTGTAACACATAAGCTGGTTGTTTTAACCTATCCACAGAGATACTAACTTGTTTATTTTTAATTGATAGAAGAAAATATTTCGGGGTTCTTTGCAGTACCAAAAAGGGTCCTTCATATGGGGGCTCCAAAGGTTTTTTTACTCTGTCAACCCGCAAAAACACGTGCGAGCATGTGTACAAATCTTTTGGGATGAAAATCTTTTGTTTACATTTGGATTTGGATTGATAGGGCTTTAAAAGGGCCATCTGATTTCGAAGATTACTTACAAAATTATCATTAGATATTGGCATGTTTGATTCTTCAAAGAATTCGCCAGGTAATTTAATAGTTTTGCCATAAACCATTTCAGCTATTGTATACTTACAGTCCTCATGTAGAGCAGCTCGCAAACCCATAAGAACTGTTGGTAATGTTTCTGTCCAATGAAGAGAATTATGACATCTAATAGCTGTTTTTAAAGTACGGTGTAGACGTTCAATTTTCCCATTACTCTGAGGATGGTAAGAAGTTGTATGGTTTACTTTTACTCCACATAGCGAAGCCAAATTTCGAAACAGTTCCGAAATGAATGGAGTTCCTCTGTCAGTAATAACACAAGAAGGTACACCAAATCGTGTTATCCAATGTTCATAAAAGGCTCTTGCTATATTTTCTGCTGTGATATTTGATAACGGTACCACTTCCATCCAAGAGGTAAACCGATCAATACACGTCAAACAATAAGTGTATCCATTAGAAGGTGAATAAGGCCCAATTAAATCAATGTGCACAACACTAAATCTTTCGTCTGGTGCTTGATATTGAGAATATTCTGATTTTGTATGTTTAGTTACTTTATTTTTCTGACAATCGATACAAGTTTGAGCCCACTGTTTAACATCTTTTTTTATATCCGGCCAAATGAATCTTTTAGTAATCTCTTTTACAGTACTTCGGATTCCAGGGTGAGCTAAACCATGAATTGCATTAAATATTTTCATCCGAAAAGTTTGAGGTATGAATGGTCTGATATTAGAAGTAGAGGTATCGCAATATAAGAGTTTTCCTGATGGTAATTGGTGCTGTTTAATATGCAATGATTTGGAATGTAATTTCAACTGTTGCAGTTCATCATCATTAATTTGTGCATCTGCTATCAGGTCAAAATCAACAACAGGTGAATCGATGTCCTCAATTCTAGATAGGCTGTCTGCAACCACATTGTTTTGACCACTTATATGGCGTAGGTTAGTAGAGAATTGTGAGATATATTGTAACTGTCTTGAGTTGTCTGGGATATGCTTTGTTGCTTTGTTATGATTCTGCTTAAAAGCAAACGTTAAGGGCTTATGATCCGTATAAATAGTAAAATCGCGGCCTTCAAGTAAATGTTTAAAGTGTTTAACGGATAAATATATACCCAAAAGCTCGCGATCGTAAGCGCTATAATTTTTCTGGGCATCATTAAGCTTTTTTGAAAAAAATGCAATAGGTTTCCATCCATTTGGTTCTTTTTGTTGAATAACTGACCCAATAGCCAAATCGGAT